CGACGCTCGCGGCGACTCGCCGCGCGACGTTCGCCCTCCGCGCTCGTCCTCCGGCACGAACTAATCATGCCGGCGATGAAGTTAGGAGTGCGAAGCAGGTGATGATTGTGGAATGTGGAATGAGATGGGGGCTGCGGGTACCGGAGGGCTCCAGTTGACTTGGAACACGTCGGCGCCGTCGAGCTCTCGCGTCTTGGTCTGTTGAACGCTGATCCGCTCCAGCTTGAGGATCTCCATCGCGATTCCCTTCACGATGCCTGCTCGCCCCAACCAGCAGTTGTTAAGTACGGCAGCCCGAGGCGGCCCCCCGGGGGGGGGCGTCGGATGTACCCATGACGAGAGGGGCGAGGCCCAGGCGGGTCTCCTTGCCGGGCGAGTAGTGGAGCACGAGGCTGTCCTTCTTGCGTCGCGATACCCGGAACCTCGGGGACTTGATCTACACGACACGACACGACACGAGACACGACACACACACACACACGATTGTGAGCACATGTATGAATAAATAATGACAGGAGGAGGGCAAAAGGGAGAGCTGGGGCGAACCTCGGGGAAGTGGGCACCCTTGAGGAGGTGTGTGTGCAGGCGGTTGATGTTGTTGAGAAAGTCGGGCAGGTTGTCGCCCATGAACTCGAGCAGGTGCCCGTACGTCTGCACAGCACCACAATCACCGAGCGCGCATCAACCAAAGCCGCTGAAGTCATTTGGGCCGAAAAAAGAAGACTGCGGGCACGATGCGGGGGAGAGGAGGGTCATGTGCGACGTACGGTCTTGTTACGAATGTAGACCATGAACCAGTAGCCGGCGTGCTCCACGACTTCTTCGGCGGGCATGCCCAGCACCTGCGACGTATATCATCCACCACCACCCACCGCGTGTCTTCCATGAGCACCAGCGCCACGAAGCTCACCAGTGGCGAGGGATCCCCTTTTGCAATCCCTCAATTCGCCTCGCTCTTCGCTCTTTTGCTCCCCTTCTCTCTTTTTGCTCTTCGCTTCGCTATTTTGCTCGAGAGAGGAGTTGGGCGGGGGCAAACCTTGGAGGCGGCGGCCACGATGTCGTAGAGGGTCTGGTCGTCGTAGGGCCGGTCCATGGTGAACTCGAACGGGCACTTGGCGCCCGCCACTATCTTGGCCCACTCCTTGTCCGAGAACTTGCTCAGCACCAGGTCCTACACGCGCCCAACCCACCCGCCACCGTTAACAAGAAGGATGAAAAGATGAACGCAAACCACATCCCACAGAAGTGCACGTGGGCTCGCCATTGGCACGAGTAGGAGAGAGGGGGCAGTACCTTGACGGCCAGGAATACGAGTCCGTACATCTTCCGGTGTTAAAAGAATGGAGAGGTGGAGGTGGCACTCCGATCTTTACGAAAATCTTCTTCTCGAGACGATGTGTTGTGCCTTGTGTGGCGGCAGCGGTGTGGTGGTTTGCAGGACACGCGTCCGTCTCCAACGTCTTCAGGTTCCTTCTTCGGTTGCAGCCGTCAAGTCTCTCTTTCTGGCGGTGAGGGGACTCCGCAGGCAGCTTTGACGAGGAGCTCGTCCACAATGTCCGCACCTTCCGCCCGTCTTCCAAGCGGTGAACGTGCGTCGACACTTAGCGACGCCACGTAACCGCAAGAACAACCAGCACGGGCCAATGTCGTTCGCGCATCACATCTCTTTTAATATTAAAAGCCCGAAGTTTCGCGTGGGCACAGTTGATGGGGACTGAGCCCGGCCAATCAGCCCACCTGCGCACCTCTTGTCCGCCCCTTTCCCCTGACTTTGCGCTCACGACAGGCGAACTCAACAGGTCATTGCGGGGGGGAGGGGGGATTAGGTGGGAAGGTGGGACAACAACAAGTGTGGAGGAGGAAGAACGACGAATACAAAACGTTTGTGGTGCGATGTGATGAGGGGTGGGTGGGCGGGTGGGTGGAGAGGTCAGGGCAGGAGGAAGGCGAGGGCGATGACGCCGATGAGGACCAGGAAGAGGGCGAGGATGACCGTCCACATGCAGCCGGCTGACGACTTCTCGTCAATCTTGCGGATGGCCATCGTCGCCTTCGACACGCTGCGACACGTGCACCCCACACCAGAGCGAAAGAACGAAGGAGAACGAAGGAGAACGAAAGAACGAAAGAGAAAGGAGGACGCGTCAAATTCTGGCTGGGAGCCGTGGTCTGGGCGTGGCGGGTCATTCGTCCGGGTGGTGGGGGAGCGTACCGGGTCTGTGTGGATTGCACCTCGTGATCCAGGTCGGCGATGAGGTCGATCTGTTCATCCACTTCGTGGCCTGCAGATACGAACACATGCAATGACTGTCACTTCCGGGGATTCCTCGCTCATGAATGAATGCGTGCGCATGGTGGCGGTGGAAAGCTGTGTACCGATGTGAAGGGCAATGTTCTTTTGTCGTTCAATGCTCTCGCCCAGGATGTCGAGCAGCTTGTCCTGCTCTGCACATCACAAAAGCGAAAGCGAAAGCGAAGTAAGAGAGAGTTGCGATATCGCTTCGTGAGGCCCCACACGCGCCAAGCATGCAAACACACAAAAGACACAGAATGTGCGGCAGAGCGCTGTCGGTGTGACGAGCGCAACGCTCCCATGCATGAAGAAGCGACGGGCTCACCTTGTATCTTCTGGCTCGAGAGGTCGTGTACGCCACGATTGTCCAGGTCCTTCGTTTCCGACGTTTCCTGCGCACGACCAGCCACTTGTGAGGCAAAGAGAGACAAGTGGCAATAGGTAAAAAATACAACAAAAAAGGGCAAATAAATAGAAGTGATAAATAGGGAATATTCACTGCATCATCAATTAATCACAAAAGCACAAACCTGGGGGGCGCCCCAGCGCAGACCGGGTCGTGGCTGAGAGCCGCCTGCCTCAGTGTGACCCAAAAGCGAAGCCCTACCACCACAAGACGTCAGAACGGGGGGGGGGCAGTACGAAACCACGAAGAAGAACGGGAAGGGAGATCGATGATGAAGCTTACCTTTCGTAGGATGTGAACTTGCTCATCTCTTCTCGTCTCTAGTGTTTGCAGCGCTCCGCCTTTTGCGTTGCTTTAATTTGATGATGCGCTGAAGCAGCGGTCTTGATTTTCCGATTCCGTTTCTGCAACTCACACCAAACGCAAAATTTTGAGACCTGTTTGGTTAATTTTGAAATAGAGGCAAGACCGCGTCCAGCGACGTGAATTCGGTGCTGATCAGGCTTCGGCCCAACCAGCTCGGCCTTGCTTTGAGGCAGTTGCGATGCCTAGGGCACACCGGGATTCTCCGGTACCAACAACAAAGCGCGGTCTGCACAAAGGCCATCAAGCCGCACCGCAGCGTGGAAGCTGTCCCGGACCATTGCTTGTGTGCTGTGGGCAACCGGTCCGCGCCTGGACTCTCCCCCCCACGTGGAAATGCCGAATTAGGTAGCTTATCGAATCTCGAGAGAAAACGTGCAGCGCCAAGCTAGGTACCTAACCTCCGACTGCGGACCGAGTTCCCGGCGCCCCACCTAAGCCAAAGACCAACCCACCATTCCTTCAACAACACAACCACCTACGGGCTCCCCGCACTGCTGCTCGCCACTCGCGCATCTCGCCCAAGAAGCAAAGAAGCAGCAAAATGGCCCACGCTGCGGAGCGGCTCCTGTCAGCGGCGGCACACGCCCTCCGCAGCGATGACGAGCGGCGGCGAAGTGTGGCGGCCCTTCTCCTGGCCGCCTTCCCCACGGAGGAGGCCGCCCTGCCCCTGCTCTGTCGGGCCATTTCCCTCGAGGTGTCTGCCACTGGTACCTCCCCCTCCCTTGGCTTTCTCCTCCCCCCCAATGTAGATCGTCCTCCTCGTTTTGTGCATTAGGCCTATGGTGCGGCTGAAGCTCACACCCTTGCAATAAGAAACCTTGTGCCTGTGGTGGAATTTTATCCAATTCGGATTTGGAATGCAGCCGCATGTCTTGCGCGCGTGCCATTGGTGCCCCTATGGCCTAGCACCTAAAAGAGGACCAGGCGTCCGACGAACTCACAACTTCTCTGCTTCCACACTTAACGTGTTCCTGTTGTGTGTTGGCTGACCACAACCAATGGACCCACTTTAATGTCCGTGCAGCTGACGAGGGCGTACTATGGCGAGGCGGTGGTCTGGCGGTTGATCTCGTCGGCGAGTTCGCCCGCCAGGCCACGTTGGGCAAGGGCCTCCCGGGGAACACCCTGATGGCCAATCTGGTCCGCACCCTCTGCAAGCGACCGGCCAGCGTCGAAGTCGACCCCGCACGCCTGGCCCTCGAGCTGGGCCTCCAGCTCGCTCCGCCCGCCTTCTACACCTCCATATCGCCCACGCCATCACGCCGCGCGCCTCATCGTCATCACCACCACCATCAGCCCCGATCGCTGGGCTCGGCCTCGCCCCGCGGGCTGCGTAGCGCTTCGAGCCACCACATGGCCATGGCCCGCATCCACTCGGTGGAGATCTCCGTACGCACGCCGGACGCAAGCGAGGAGGAACGTAACGACGACGACGATGACGTGGACGAGCTTCATTTGCGGGCGCGGCGATTGGAAGAGGAAGAGAGCAAGCTGGCGGCGCAGGCCCAACAGGCCTACTTCCGCGACATTGTGGCGCCCAACCGCCGCAAGCTGCAGGAGCTGGCCCTCGAGTTCCTGCAGGCCATCGATACAGCCATGCGCGCGTGCTCGCCCGCCCTGCGCGCGCTGCTGCGGCACATGTTCGGCGCCGTACGGGAGCGGTTCCCTGGGTCGGAGTTCAAGGCCGTGGGAGCGCTCATCTGCCTCCGCCTCTTCTGCCCCGCCATTGTCGCGCCCGAGACCCACAACCTCACCAAGCCAGGTAAACTCTACCAGCCGGAGTGTCGTGTCGTTGGTCGTGTCGCGTCGTCGTGTCGTGTGTCGTGTGTTGAGTGTAGATTGCGCGCGAGTGAGGTGTTGAAAATAGATTGTATTGATTGACTCGGGTTGCGACCAGGGGAAGTCACGCCCAAGGCCAAGCGCAACCTGGTGCTGGTGGCCAAGCTGCTCCAGACGCTGGTAAACGAGACACCCTTCGAGAAGGAGGTGTGCATGCTGCCCTTCAACGGCTTCATCCACGACCACATCCCTGTCGTCCACTCCATGTTCCTCGCCTGGATGGTACCAACTCCCGTCGTGCGGTACTCACAATACATGGCCCACGTGAGACTAACATCGATGGTGGTGCCAGGCGGAGTCACGGTCGCTGACGTCCCCGAGCGCCCCCGTGCCATTGGCCTGTCATCTTCGGCCGAAGGAGTTGCGGCGACGCATGACCCTCGCCCTCGCGGGTAACTGCCCACAGGAGCTGGCGGCCTTTCTGTCGGCCCATCAGGTGGTCTGCAACCCCAACGTTGCCGCAGATCCACGCCTTCCCGAGGAGGATCACCACCCTGGGCAGCCCGACATGGAGCTCCTCTCATCGTCGTGGCCGTCGACATCGTCGTCATCACTGCTGTCGTCGTTCCCACGTCCGACGGTAGCACACGAGAAGCCGCGCGCCGCCTCCATCGACTGCCTTGCGAGCCTGCACAAGAAGTGTCTGGGCAGCTTCTCCGGCCCGTGCAAGCAAGGTGCATAACACACACATTCTGTGCATTGCTCGGTTCTCACCGTATCGGCTGGCAGAGGTGCTGCAGTGGACGCCCGTGGAGGTAGCGAGATGGCTGGAGCGGAGCGCCTACTCGCAGGAGACGGTGGAGGCCGTAGCCCAGGCCGGCATTGACGGCAGGCTGCTCCTGCGGTTATCGGTGCCAGAGTTGCTGACCCTGGGTGTCATCAAGCTGGGCGACAGGAAGAAGCTCGCCAAGGCCATCGATGAGATCTCGGCCACGTGTGTCTGGAGCTGGGTCGACCAAGGCACCACACATTCCACACATACGCCCACACACACGAGTGAATGTTTAGAATGCTGATGACGTGTTGTTGTTATGTTCTGTACAGAGGTCGGGCAGTGGCAAGTGGGTGGGGTGGCGATGTGGCTCGGCCTCCATGGGCTGCTCGAATACGCCGACGCGTTCATCAAGCACGAGGTGTCCGGGCAGGTCCTACTCGGGCTCACCCAGCAGAAGTTGTTCGACATCGGCGTGTCCAAGTTCGGACACGTCAAGCGCATACTCAGAATGATTCGGTAACGCCCTCTGTCCCGACATTCTTGCTCTATAGTTCCTTGTTGGTATGTGTGAACTCACATTCTTGGTTGTGTGGGGTGCACAGGGAACTCTCGCTCTCTCCGCAGGACCGACTCAAGGCGAAACCTCACGCCGAGTACTGGACTCTGGGCGACGTGTGCGACTGGCTGCGAACAATGGAGCTGCAGCAGTACCTGCACCTCTTCTACGCCGCTGAGGTGGACGGGCTCAAGATCCTGCAACTCACCGACCCCAAGCTGGCCAAGCTGGGCGTTGACGCGCTGGGCCATCGGAAACGCATCATGAAGCATGTGCGCTTCCTAAGAGCCAGTGGCGACACGCCTGCGCTCCAGTAGCTTCGTGACGCAGTGTTCATGTGTAAGTAGTTCCTTAAAGTGTAAAACAAGAGAGAATGGCAAACCAAGGGCGATGATCTCGTGTTACTAACATCAGCGGCCACTTGGAGCCTCTGCACAGCCGACGATCATTTCCCGTCCAATTTTGACCGGTCAGCAAAACCTGTGGGCAATGGTGTTGGTAGCGCGGTAGACTGCAGTCTTGATGATTTTCTCGGTAGTCATCTATCGGTTCCTGGTTCGAGTCCGGGAAGCCGGAATTTCTTTACTCACCCGCGAGCAGCGGGCCGCAAAGCTACGTGAATCCAAGAGGACCTGCAAACACGTCAGGTTTCATGGTGTAGTGGTATCACGTCTGCCTCACACGCAGTAGGTCCTGGGTTCGAACCCCAGTGAAACCAATCTTTTGCCTGGCACCATTTGGTGCCTTTCTCAGGCCACCGACGCAGTATCGCGCATAATGGCGCAGGAGGCCGGTGTGCAACGAGGGACGGATGGCCGAGCGGTCTAAGGCGACAGTTTAAGGCACTGTTATCTTCGGATGCGTGGGTTCAAATCCCACTCCGTTCACTCCTTTTGTCCTATTCCTCTCGTTCTTGGCAGAGTGCGCTCGCGCAGCATCATCGCGAGCTCTCCTATTTACAACCCCCAGCACCAATCCGACCATGACCACAACCACGACGTTCTCTGGTGGGCATGATAGTGTCGTTCCTCCCACAACAAAGCAGCCGCCACTCCGATTCCTCCAAACCTCCAGTGGCAGGACCCTGCGCGATGGTAGTGGTCCACGTGGTTTTGGATTGTAGTTGTCCATTCAATCTTAGTTTGAAGAAGACGGCATGCACTGTACAAGCCCACAAGAGAGCTCTCGGCTCGTTGACGATCGACGGGAGGTGTGCAAGGGGTTCAGTGGGCGTGGAAGAAGGAGTCGAAGAGAAAGAAGCCGGCGTAGGCGGCCACCATCGAGATGAGCGACCAGTTCCGAATCCCTCGGGGTGTTTCCTTGCTCATGATTTCCGGAATGATTCCTAGGACAGCACAGATCAGCACGTCGTTATGTTCTCCGAACATATGTGATCACATGTATGCACATAAAAACTAACATATTTAAATATGCACGTACCCGTGGCGGTGATGAAAAGAAAAGTCCCAGCCCCAAACCCGAGCACGAAACCGAGGACCTGCGGAGAGATGCCGCCCATCAACACGTACCCCAGCAGCCCTCCTGCTCGTTAACGCGCAGCACACGATGGTAAGAAGTTGGTAAAGTTGAAACAAACAACGCAACGAGTTTTGTGGAGTACCTAGCGGGGTCATGGCGGCGAGGAAAGCGACGGTGGAGAAGAACGAAGCGTTGCTTCGCGAGGCGGAAAGGACGGCCGACAGGACGAACCCGTCCGGGATCTTGTGAACGATCAGCGCCAGCGCCACTGCGAGTAAGTCGACAACAGAAAAACCAATAATGGCCCAGGTGTGAGTCGGCTGAACAGGGGGGGGGCAGAGGTTGGATTGGGTAGAGAGGGCAAACCTCGTGCTCCGACCTCCGCCGACGCCTCATAGGCTCCGGCCATCACAAATCCGTCGACCTGGTGCGTCCACGCGGAGTGAGCGCGATCGCCGTGCGTGCGGTGGTGCGTGTGTGCGTGTGGACGAGACGTACGAGACAGTGGAGGGCGAGGGCGACTAGGGCCACCGTGGAGAAGGACTCGGACAGCGATCCTCCGCTGTCGCCTCCGTGCCGGTCGCCGTGCGAGTGCGCCTGCAAGGTGAGATAGCGCAATGAGTGAGCGGTGCGCCCAGTGGATGGGGCACATGTGGGCAACGAGGCGGTGAAGCAGCACTATATATATATATATGCCGACACGTACGTGTGTTTCCTCCAATTCGCGGCGCACGTCGAGATCGTTGATCTGCAGCGGCGTGCCTGATGGACCATTTCAACCGGAAGGTGAATGGGTGCCTCTGTAACATACCCATCGGGGTGTGCGTGTGCGGTGTGTGCGTGCCGGGTACCGTGCGAGTGTGAATGTCCGGAGTTGGTAAGAATCTGCTCCACGATGAGCAGCACCAGGTAGCCCGCACCCACCCCGATCATCGCGATTCGGCCTGCACGCGCATCAGCCACCAAAGCGCGTTAGCAGCCATCCCACAACCACCACCACCACCACCACCACTTTTCCTTGGTATAGAGAAGGAGGGCGATCGCGCACTCGGATGTTCCTCGTCGCCGTGGTCGTGGCCGTGGTCGCCTTCGCCGCCGTGCTCGCTTCCGTGGTCATGGCCGCTCTCGTTCGCTACGCGGCCGAGTAGAACAGCGAACATGAGAATGAAGGCGACAAAAGATGGAGATGGAAAAACGCAAGGAGAGAACGCGAGTAGAGGAGGCGAGGTGGTCGCGGTACCGT